TACCAAGTAAACTTAAAGAAAAGTATGGTAATTTACGCACGAATAGCATGCACGGAAATTTATGTAAAATTTGTATGAGTATACACGGTATATTACATCGGATGCGTTATTGATTCGAAAGGATACACATTTCGTATAGCGGAATCGATGTATTTTTATTAGTATGCTCAAAGTTCAGTACTACGATGAATAAATTACGAAATCCTCATTTTTAAGCTTGTCAAATAATGACGGAATGGCCAGGGTGATTTCGAATTCTCTCCCCTCTAGAATTCGGAGATAGAAACCGAATCAATCCAGTATATAGTTTTCAGATAGTTGCTTGAACATGTGCCTAAGGTTTCCCGTATCATTATTGTATTAGATCTGCATTTTCTCTCAGTTCTCTGGTTAAGTCATTTCATTTAGGTAAACCATAATTCGGAATAAAATTAGTTGGATTTCATATAGACTAATGTTCACCGTGTTGTCGAGTTCATTTAGTACGTATTCATGGTTGGACACTTGAATAGCTCCAACAGTATGTCACAGACGAATAGTATTGGTGCTTTAGATATTCATAGAAATGTTAGTGCGGACTCTTTTGATTCACTCCGAAAATTTAATGATTCTCTATGGGATAACTGAACAGCAAAATCAAGATTATCATGGTTTATGCCGATGTACTCTATCTGTCAAACTGAAGATCCTAAAAATGCAGATATATTTTGATTTTGTTGCACAACCATCTGGTTAGAATTTCGGAAGCTATCTGTGAGTGAGTTCGGAACCACGTGCCGATCAATTTTTCTTGAAACTTTTTTTCCACATGAAAATATGCTTCGAAAAACACTGAAAAATCTAACACTAGCATATCCGATTCGGCGTACCATCTCGCACGCAGCCGCCGTTGTTGGTTAAGATTTTCGTACAGGCTACACTGAAAAATACATAGGACCACGCGGAAGGAAGAAAGTTTCGAATTTTCTCACTGACGTTTAAAATGGTTTTGCAGATTCCTCGGAACTAAAAAAGGGTTTCGCACTTTGCAGCGGATTCTAAACCATTTTACATTTCGTAGGTTTTTCACCTAACCGTCGGAAACGGTTTTGGGACTCTTGATAATAATGCTCACACCATCTTGGGCTTTTGCGAAACCTTTTTGAGGGTTTAGAATTCACGTAAAAAATGGTTCCGTGTGGTGCTATTTTTTCCCACTGTACGCATACTGCTGAATAAGGACACGCACAAGTTCTAAATCGAACAATCAATCGTTCAACAGGGAGTCAGAATGCTTACTGAAGCCATCGGGACACCAGCATCAATTGTGGTTGTAAGTAACACAGGCATGAGTTCTTCTATCTCACAGTTACTCAATGGTACAATCACGTGTGGAGGACGCATTGCTTCAATTGGTACTTCTTCTGGTTTCACCGAACTTGGTACATGATCCAAATTACGGAATTTATCGGGTGAAACAAATGGTTGAGTATCAACACCAGGCACAATTGCGATCGGACGTCGTCCTTTACCTTGTGGATGTTCCAGATCGCGAAATTTATCTTCTGGGAGAAAAGCTCGATCATCCACACCAGGTTTGTCTGGTACAACATTCAGAGAACATCTAGTTGAATCTTCGCCTGCTGGATTGGTTGCAATGACTACGTATTCACCAATATCTTGAGGACGAATATCGTTTACTTGTAGAAGAACTTGTTTGGTACCGATATCGTATCGGGTACGTAGACGATTTGATGCTGGTAATGGAGCACCATCTTTCAACCACACAAACTAAATAGTATAAGCTACATGAGACGAGGCGGATATTCAGATTGAAAGCTTACATTAGGGGTAGGTTTTCCTATAATAGTTGCCTTGAGTAGGACAGGTGATCCTTCGGGAACTTGTAAATTCTCTAAAGGTACAATCACTTTTGGAGGTTCCATTTTATCCAAGTCTTCTTTTGTTGGTAGTGGTGCTTTGACCTCTAGTGGTGCAAAACGGTCTGGCTGTATGAATGGTCGTGTATCAATTGAAGCTGTTGGGTGAATAGTTAGATTACATGTGGTTTCATCACTACCAACAGGATTTGTGGCTCGAACTGTATATGTTCCTTGGTCGTCTGGTCGCGCAGCAAGTACTTGCAGTGTTAATGTCTTTGTGTAGATATCGTATTTAGTAGTAAAACGATTTCCTTCATACAGTGGTTGACCATCTTTGTACCAAGTAAACTTAAAGAAAAATATGGCTTGTCTTTCAGAATGAAATATATTAGAATGCAAAGAGAAAATGTATTGTTGTATGCAGTAGACTAAATGTGGTGCGTCCTGGAATGAATTACTTAGTTCAGTAGTTTAAAGAGGAATGAACTTGTAGGTGTTTTCAAAATGGACAACCTGATGGTAGCATCGTGGACATCAAGAATCGGTCACAGCTGCATACGAGTCAGTAGTTAAAATTCTTTAATGATGGAGAATTCCGAGTGACCGATCCAATGTATGCATGCTCACCAGTTCTATTCTGATAACGTATTGTTTCGTATGGTAGTATTAATATACTTTGATGGTTAATATTTTGTGTTGGTTGCAGAGGAAGCAACTTATTCACTCTAGTAACGAGTATTTATGTATATAGTTGAATGTATTTATAGCGTTTCTCGCGACCACTCATCGAGCATATTGAGTTATAGTATGTTGTACGAATTGAATCGAAACTTTACCATCGTCTACATATCTAATTTTGTTCATTTCTATGGTTTTCTGTGTCTCACATAGGTGTACCTTGGATTCAGATAAGATATACGGTGGAATTAGTGTATCATATTCAAAACTTGACTCGTTTAATTAGAAAGAAACAAAGAATACCCTTGTCTTGCGGCTACCTTTCAGTATAGGGTGCTGTCCGGAGTCAGTTTCAAGAGCCAGATATTTTTCCTACAACTATTACTACCTGTAGCTCTGGACAAAAGGGCGGCCTGACTCAGAACTCCTTCCGCTTAATTACTTAAGCTTCCCATGCATATTGACTAACCACATATTATCCACAAGGACTTTTTATGTATGTCACATGTAACCAGCGTGATATCGGATGGGTGATCCGAGACAAAACAGGCGTTAGTAACTTGTCTAAGATTATGCTATGGATCATGGCGTCGAGGTTCGAACACAATATATGGTGGTATGACCTCGAGCACCTAGCACATTATATTCAATATAAGCAAGAATGATATCCTCATATTTACAAGAATCTCTGAATCTGATTCATCGTTATGCCTCAGTCACTATCTTAATGAATCCTCAATGAAAACTACATATTCGTTGTAGAATAAAACTATATTGCATCGTCGGAACAGATATGGGATCGATACTATTGGTCCAAACGTCACATAATTAATCAGTATGCCGGAAAACATTTTCTAATCAAAGCTCGTTAAAAGCTTAGCATAACTCTGTTCGAAAGTAATGTTACTGAGTACAACCAGAAATCGTTCGAGCGAGAACCAAAAAATCCTTACTGCAGCCATGGGAACACCAGCATCAATCGTGGTTGTAAGTATAACGGGCATAAGTTCTTCTAGTTCACAGTTACGCAATGGCACAATAACACGTGGCGGCCGTCTTGCTTCTAGTGGTATATCTTCTGGTTTGATCGAAGTTGGAACATGATCCAAATTACGAAATTTATCAGGTGAAACAAATGGTTGGGTATCAACACCAGGTACGATTTCCAATGGTCGCCGTCTTTTACCTTCTGGATGTTCCAAATCGCGGAATTTATCTTCGGGAACAAAAGCTCTGTCATCAACACCCGGCTTATCTGGTACAACGCTCAATGAACAAACTGATGAATCTTCACCTGCAGGATTTGTTGCTATGACAACGTATTCACCGATATCATGAGGACGAACATCATTTATTTGTAATAAAACTTGTTTGGTACCAATATCATAACGAGTACGCAGACGATTTGAGGCTGGCAATGGAGCACCATCTTTCAACCAGATAAACTAAAACAAAACAAGACAATCAAAATTTTTATGCCGGAAAAAGCAGTCTTACATGGGGTGTTGGCTTTCCAATAACAGTTGCTTTAAGAAGAACAGGTGATCCGTCGGTAACTTGTAGACTTTGTAAAGGTACAATAACTTTTGGAGGTTCCATTTGATCGAAGTCTTCTTTGGTCAGGGGTGGTGCTTTGAGCTCAAGTTGTGTGAAGAATTCTGGCTGTATGAATGGAGTTGTATCAATAGAAGGTGTTGGTCGAATAGCAAGTTTACATGTTGTTTCATCGCTACCAACAGGATTTGTTGCTCGGACTGTGTAAGTTCCTTGATCATCTGGTCTTGCAGCAAGAACTTGTAACGTTAATGTCTTCGTATAAATATCATATTTAGTAGTGAAACGATTGCCTTCAAGTAGTGGCTGGCCATTTTTATACCATGTAAACTTTGAAAAAAGTATGGTCATTTTTTAAGGTAGGATAATTGGTATGTATGATACATAAAGTATAGCGTCACAGTAAATGAAATATTCAATTTCGAAGTAAAATAAATGAACTTTGAATTACTTGTATACTTAACACTTCAACAGTAGTATTTGATAGATAACTTAGTCGTCATGGATAATATCTACCGTCTTAGTTTATGCTTACGGATGTTACTTTATGGATATATCGACCTTCGCAGACTCAGAAATCGATATGAATGGGTCAGATGATGTGGACTCTAGTCAAATGAATAATTTGTTGTATTGTGCAGTTCTTTTGTGTAACATATATGCCTCCTCGTTTTCGAAAATGTACTGTAAAAAAGAATGTATTGCTATCGCATGCCGACAACACTCCACAAACTGCTTGAATTTCCATGTTACAGTAACCATCGAAATAATCTTTTATTAGAAACTTAATTTTTCAATCAACATCATTTTGGAAATTTTAGTGAAACGGTAAAAAATCTACTCGTCTTAAGTAACCATCTGATGATGAGAAAATCTGGTCTGAGTTTGTGAATGAGTTTTGTGGGTAATACTACTAAATCTTAGAAGTAAACGATCGAACGAAAGTCGAAAACTGTTCTTACTGTAGCCATGGGAACACCAGCATCAATCGTGGTTGTAAGTATAGCGGGCATAAGTTCTTCTAACTCACAATTACTCAATGGTACGAGTACACGTGGTGGTCGTTTTGCTTCAAGCGGTGTATCTTCTGGTTTCATTGAAGTTGGAACATGATCCAAACTACGGAATTTATCAGGCGAAACAAATGGCTGAGTATCAACACCAGGTACGATTGTGATTGGGCGTCGATCTTTACCTTCTGGATGTTCCAAATCGCGAAATTTATCTTGTGGAACAAAAGCTCGGTCATCTACACCCGGTTTATCTGGCACCACATTTAATGAACAAACTGAAGAATCTTCACCAACAGGATTAGTTGCGATTACAACATATTCACCAATATCTTGTGGGCGAGCATCATTTATTTGTAATAAAACTTGTTTGGTACCGATATCATAGCGAGTACGTAGACGATTAGATGCTGGCAGTGGAGCACCGTCTTTCAACCAGATAAACTAAAAGCGGTATGAATAAAAAAAAAGACTTTTGTTTGTTTGTACATGATATCTTACGTGAGGTGTTGGTTTTCCAATAACAGTTGCTTGAAGAAGAACTGGTGATTCCTCATTAATTTGTACATCCTGAAGTGGCACAATGACTTTGGGTGGTTCCATTTGTTGTAAATCTTCGCTCGTTGGAAGTGGAGCTTTGAGTTCTAATTGTGCAAATCGTTCTGGTTTCACAAATGGTGTAGTATCGATCGATGCTACTGGTCGAATAGCAAGTTTACATGTTGTTTCGTCGCTACCAGAAGGATTGGTTACACGAACTGTGTAAGTTCCGTCATCATCAGGACGAGCGGCAAGAACTTGCAATGTTAATGTTTTCGGGTATATATCGTATTTAGTAGTGAAACGATTGCCTTCAAGTAGTGGTTCACCATTTTTATACCAAGTAAACTTAAAGAAAAGTATGGTCATTTTTTCAAATAGAACGCTTGATAACAGAGAGAGAGAGAGAGAGAGAGAGAGAGAGTATATTGTTATGTATGGTAAATTCAATTGAGCGTCTCAATTAATCATAGGTGTAGTGTTTCGAAGTAAAAAGTAACGGATGTGAGGTTAGTGAAGTTTGAATGTGATAACGGCAAAGTTCAATATATTACTTAGTCGTTGCTGGTTGTAAAATATTGAAGTAATTGATCGATGCGAATTCGTATTTTATTCTCTTTTCGTTTCTAATTTTCGATCAACACATGCAATGTAGGCATGGCCATACGTTTTTGTTTTCTGATCAATCAAAGTATTGACTGTATAATATGATATTTACGGATACCACTGAAGGTAGAAGTAATTGCTTTTTTGGATTAATCAACGATATTATTGTTGATGTAATTAAATTAAAATTCTGTCATACAATTCAAATCTATTATGGAGCATTGCTAGTCTTCTGCAACACTCGTATAGGTGTATTTTCCGTTCAAGTAAAAGTATGCTTCAAAATTAGGCTATCTTTATCAGATATGTTTTGGTTTGTCTACGATCGCATTAACTTGTTCGATTGTTATTTTACTAATTGCAAATTCAAACAACTTGTAGAACATTGCAAAGACAAACACGGAAAGGTGTATTGAGATTTGTAGCGAATCTCACGCCGGGTATATGTTCTTTACTGCAGTAAGTATCGAGATCAAAACTCACTGGAAATTGTAATTCGAAAAATAAAAACTCAAAATTTAAAATTGAAAGCAGGTAACTTTTTAGGATTGCTAGATTTTTTTGAATTTAAAAGCAATCAATTAGATTAAACAAAATATTAATTCATGAAATCTTCTACGGTAGCTGTTCACTCATTGAAAATTTCGTTCCAGCCTTAGCTACTTTTATTCTACGGGGATAGGACTAATTTGAATAACAAATCTTTTGAGCAAGATAAAACAAAATCCTTACTGTTGCCATTGGGACACCAGCATCGATGGTAGTTGTGAGAAGTACAGGCATAAGTTCTTCTAATTCACAGTTACTCAATGGTGTAATAACGCGTGGTGGTCGTCTTGCTTCAAGTGGTACATCTTCTGGTTTCATTGAAGTTGGAATATGATCCAAATTACGAAATTTATCAGGCGAAACAAATGGTTGGGTATCAACACCAGGTACGATTTCCAATGGTCGCCGTCCTTTACCTTCTGGATGTTCCAAATTACGAAATTTATCTTCGGGAACAAAAGCTCTGTCATCAACACCTGGTTTATCTGGTTGAACACTCAATGAGCAAACTGAAGAATCTTCACCTGCAGGATTTGTTGCTATGACAACGTATTCACCGATATCATGAGGACGAACATCATTTATTTGTAATAAAACTTGTTTGGTACCAATATCATAACGAGTACGAAGACGAGTTGACGTAGGCAATGGTTGACCATCTTTCAACCAGACAAACTAAATAAGAAAAACATAAAAATCAACATATGTTCTCTGTTCAAAATGAAATCTTACATTAGGTCTCGGTTTTCCAATAATTGTTGCTTGAAGAAGAACCGGCGACCCTTCTTTAACTTGGACGCTTTGTAAAGGTGTAATAACTCTTGGTGCTTCCATATGTTCCAAATCTTCTTTAGTTGGAACTGGTGCTTTCACTTCTAATTGTGCAAAGCGTTCTGGTTGTACAAATGGAGTTGTATCAACACCTGATTGTAGTGGTGCACGTAGACCAAAAGGTTGATCAAAAGCAGCAAATTTTTCTGGAGAAACAAATGCTAAAAAAAATTATTTTTAAGAGACAAAAAATGATTCAATATATATTTTCAAACCATTGGTATCAATTGCTGGACCAAATGAGACATTTACTGGTGTTTGTGTTTGATCTTGACCAAGTGGATTTTTTGCAACAAGCGTATATGTTCCACTATCATCTGGCCGAGCACCATTTACTTGTAAAAGAACTGTTTTACTAGGTACATCATAATGTGACCAAAGTCGATTGGATTCTTGAAGTGGTTGATTATTTTTAAACCATGTAAACTAAATATATCGATAAAATATCGTTTAAAATTATGCATCATATCTTACTGTTGGATGTGGATTTCCTTCAACTTTTGCTGTAAAATTAATTGGTTGTCCTTCATTACAGTTAATGGGTTTTAATGGAATAATAACTTTCGGTGGTGTTCGTGGTTGCTCCTTTTCTTGTTCACCCGTTGGTTTGGGTTTACCTTGATCTAATGCTTTTAATGCGTCAGGGCTAAGAAAACTATTGGTATCAACACCTGGTTCAACGAAAACTGTACGTAGATTAGGTCCTGATTCTAATGTTCGAAATGCATCTGGTGCTACAAATGCTGTATGATCAACAGGTGTTGTGTCACTGCGTACGACTAATGGAGCTGATGTTTCAACTCGTTCACCTGTTCGTGGGTTTTGAGCAATCACTGTATAGGTACCTGAAAAGTAAAACATATATATATATATACATGATTATTGTTAAATGAAATTGTATTCTTCTGTTTTTGTCATAGCAGCATAGTGTCACTACTATATTGGATGTATTTTGTTTTTGACGATACACTTTTCTTCATAATATCTATCGGTAATGACTTGACTGTGTAAAATTTAAAGGTATTGATATTTGAAAAATAAATTTTTATATGTTAAATGTATTCTAAGGTGTACTTATATTGGTGACCATTGGTTGAAGGACTCAATCGTAAAAATCAATAAGTATTCATTAATTCGGCATATAATCGAATGAAAAGTTCAAAATCGATTCTATAATGTTAACATGCTACTTCTCAATCTCAAGATCACATTTAACTCTTTCAGCATAGATGCAATATATACATCGTCGTAGAACATATCGTAAAGATTTGTGGATTATTTCTCGATCTGATCAGAAACATATTCACTAAGTAATATAGTTTTCTAAAAAATATAACTTATTCAGAAAACAGCTCTGTAAAAAAAGCTAAAGCAAATAAAAGATGAATACATCCTAGTTTGCCTAAAATGTCCTATATATCAATTATCTAGGAATTTATTCGAATCTATTTCTCTCTGTATGAATTAAAAATGAATTTGTTGAATAGAATGACAATAATCAATGCTTCACAGTCCTTGTTTTCTTATAATTTGTCATATGTAATATTTTACCTGAATCATGTGGCCAAATATCACTAATTTCAAGTACAAGTGTTTCTGATGGAAAATCATACTGTGTTTGAAAACGCGTTGATTCCATTAGTGGTTGATTATTACGAAGCCAAGTAAACTAAACGAAAACAAAATCATTTTCTCATTTTCTTCTATGCTTATTAATTTACTTGTGGTACTGGTCTACCACGTATTTTAGTTGTTAATATAACAGGTTGTCCTTCTTGTGCAACAGCTAATTTTAATGGTATAATAACTTCTAATGGTAAACTTTGTTCGTTTTCTGGCACATGTTGTTGATTAACTGGTTTTGTTTCCAATAAACGAAATATTTCTCCACTAACAAATGGTGTTGCATCGACACCCGAACGAAGATCACTTGGAATACGTGGTTTGAATTCCAATGTTGAAAATTTATCATACGGTACATAGCCAGTTTGATCAATTTTTGATACAGGTACGACAGTTAATTCTGTTTTTGTACGATCTTGACCAGCTGGATTTTCAGCTACTAATTCATATGTTCCCGAATCATTTGGTCGACTATCAATTAATTGCAAAAAGCAACGTTTTGTTAACATATCATAATGTGATGTAACACGATTCGATGCCATTAATGGTTGATTATTAAGCATCCATGTAAATTGTGGTAATGGATAACCTTCAACTTGTGTTGTTAAAACAACAGTTTCACCTTCGGGCATTGTTACTGGACGAAGTGGTGTAACAACTTTTGGTGCAGTTATTGGCATAACTGCATCACTTTCTTCGCCGCCAACAATAGCTGATGGATGTTTAATATGGTGTTCATCGAATGGACGAAACAATTCTTGATCAAAGAAGCTTGTTTGATCAACACCACTTTGCACATCGTTTATTCTATATGTAGGTTTTTCTAATTGTTCAAATGCTGTTTGAGGTACAAATGAACGCCGATCAATAAGCGGCTGATTTAAATCAACATTGACCATACATGATGTTTCATCTTGTCCCAATGGATTTTGTGCTACTAAACGATATACACCGGTATCATCATCACGTGCATCGGCCATCGTAAGAAATATTGTTTTTGATGGCATATCATAATGTGTACGAAAACGATTTCCTTCGCTGAGCGGTTGATTATTTTTATACCAAGTAAATTGTGGTTGCGGTTTGCCTTGAATTTGTGCCGATAAAACAACTGGTTGATTTTCAACTGCATGAACATGACGAAGTGGTACAAGAACTGTTGGTCGACATTGTTCAGCATGTTCTTCTTCCGGTATAATTCGGTTTGGTTTGATTTCTAATTGTTGTAATCTTGTTAAATCAACAAGTGCACGGTCATCAACACCACTGAAGCCTTCAATAAAACGTGGTTGATTTGATTGTTCAAGACGATCGAATTTATCTGCTGAAATAAATGCTTGATCGCGCACCGATGGTAAACTTGATATATTAAGTGTAGCCGATGTTGAAACATTACCGGATGGATTATCTGCTCGAACTGTGTAAACACCTGTATCATTAGGTCGAGCATCATTGATTTGTAACATAATTAATTTTGTTAGAATATCATAATGAGTTGTAAAACGAGATGAAGCGACTAATGGTGCATTGTCTTTGAACCAAGTAAACTAGAACAAGAGTGAAAAAAATTAATTTTCAAAAAAACTATTTATTCAACGTAAAGATATGTCGGAGAAGCAAAACAAAAAGATTTTTCTCTATTTTACTTACGGTTGGTATTGGACTACCATCAATTTTTGCTGTTAAAACAACATGAGTACTTTCTGGAGCATTAATTGATCGGATAGGCGCTAAAACTGATGGTGCTTGCGATTTTTCTTCGATGTCATATGGTTGTTTATTTTGTTTTGATGGAGTTTCTAATAAATGTATTTTCTCCAAATTAACAAGTGGTGTTTCATCAACACCACCAAATTCATTTAATGGTCGTCGATTTGGTTGTATTTGATCGAATACAGCAAAACGATCTGGTTGAGAAACATACGATGTTTGATCAACACCTGGTTGGACTTGTATTCGATGTGGTTGTTTTAGAGGTTGTTCCAATTGTTTAAAAGCATCGATTGATATAAATGATGATTGATCAACTGAAGGTGCACCAAGAATTTGTAATTTAGCTGATGTATTATGAAGCTGTTAAAAAATTGAAAACTTTCAATTGTGTTCTATTTTAAAGCAAAATATTATAAACGTACTTGTGGACCATTCGATGCTAATAATGTATATGTTCCTGCATCACTTTCACGTACATCTTTTATTGTTAATGTAACACGTTTACTAGGCAAATCATAGTTGATTACAAAACGATTACTATCACTCAATGGTAATTGATCTTTTAACCAAGTAAATGTTGGTATCGGAGTACCGTCGACAATAGCTTCTAAAACTACTGTAACACTTTCAGGTGCGTGTACAGATTTTAATGGCGCTAGAATGCGTGCTGGTACTTGAACAATGACTTCATCAGTGTAATATTCTGGCTGTTTAAGAGATACTTCAAATTGTCGAAATAGTTCCGGATTAATAAAAGATGTATCATCAACACCTGTTGTTTCAGGAACATTTGAACGATTTTGTGATGTAGGTCGTTCTATTTTTGAAAATGCTGCAGCTGGTACAAATGCTGTATCATCAATGGGTGTCATACTAGGTACAACATTAAGACGAGCATCACTGCGTACATCACCAGCTGGATTATGAGCGATAACTGTATATACGGCGCTATCGTCTGGTCGAGCACTATCAATACGAACCCATGCAGTTTTTGATGAAATATCATAATTCGTTGTTACACGAGTTGATGCCGGTAGTTCAGCCCCATCTTTAAGCCATGTTAACTGAAGAAAAAAAGACCCAGATAGTATGATAATATTTCAAGATTTTTCTCATCTGAACATTTTATTCTTACAAGAAAGCAAAATGTATCTTTACAAATGTCATCTACTCCTTTTTATTCGTAGAGCTATTAGATGTTCTGAGTTCTTGAGAATTAAACACAAAAAATTCATTTAAGTTATTCGTTTTTATCAAAATATACGACAAAATTTATCTATAATTAATTTGAATTTTTATTAAGCAGTTTTCTAGATTCAAAGTCAAGTATACTCTCATAGAATTTCTTTGTTAGTTGTCATATATATATATATATATATCGCATTAGAAATGATTGAAATATACATCGAATATAAAAACCATGAATAATAAGTGAATGCACCGTTTAAAATTTATACTATCTATTTCAATAAAGTTAATTATAATCTGATGTGTATACCTGTGGTGTTGGATAACCATCAATAATAGCAACTAGTGCTATAGGTTTTCCTTCATGAATTTGTGTGTTTCTCAATGGTTGAATAACTCTTGGTGATCGTTTGATTTCTTGTTCCTCCTGTTTTGGTTGAGCAGCAGGTTTTTGATCAAATTGGACAAATAACTCTGGATTAACATAGGTCGATGTATCAATAGCTGGTCCTTCATTAGTTTTTGTTTTCAATATGGGTGCCTCGAGATATATAAACGCTTGCGGATTCACATATGAACTTTCATCGACTTTTGGTCCTTGATCAATAATTTTCTTTGGTTTTGCTTCAATATAACGAAATGCTAATGGATTAACATATGTACTTTCATCAACGGATGGTCCTTCTGGTGCACGTTGCACAGGTTTTGGACGTTCAAGCCAACGAAATGCTTCTTGTGGCACAATAGGTCGATTATCGACTGTAGGACCTTCATCAACTCGATTAGGTAGATTAGGTCGTTCCAAATATCGAAATACTTCTGGATTAACTATTGGCGTTGTATCAACGTTTGGTGTTGTATCGCGTGCCTGTGGTACAACTTTTCGTTCTAAATAACGAAATGCATCTGGATTAACAATTGGTGTTTCATCAACTGTTGGACCATTGTCATCAGGTTTTTTGGTTGGTTTACGTTCTAAGATATAGTTTTAAATGAAAAAGCAAATAGATAAAAATGTATCTTTATTGAAATTTACCTAAATATATAAATGCACTTGGATTAGAAATAGATGATTCATCGACACTTGGTTCTGGACGCTGAAAATTTTGTGGTATTCCTTTTCGTTCCAAATACAAGAATGCATTTAAATCGACTTGTGGTGTTTCATCTACTGCTGGACCTGTGTCTTGATCTTTTTTTAATCTAGCGGCATCAACTTTTCGTTCTAAATATCGAAATGCATCTGGTGCAACGAGTGGTGTATCGTCGATTGATGCTCGAACATCAACGTCTTTCTTTACTTTTGCTGCTTGTCGTGCTTCTAGGTAACGAAAAGCATCAACGTCAACAATTGGTCTATCATCAATTGTTAAGTTATCATCATTTTGTTTTGATGGCTTTTTAGCTTCCAAATAACGAAATGCGTCTGGATTGACAAAGTATTCACTAAACGATTAAGAAAATCATTTTTCTAATTTTACATTTACTATCGGTTCAATCTTGAAAGATAATTCGAAAAGAAAAATTATCTTTTGACTGTGGAAAAGAGAAGATGTTCATTTGAGTAGATTCTAATTTTTAAGATATCTTTTTAAGATTTATTAGCACGATTATTTGTAGGTTAAAATCTGAAGCTACGATATTATGCTTAATCCAATTATAGATTGATGCAAAGTATGTCACGTAAAAAGTTCCCTGACAGACAATAATTACCTTTCAAGGATAAAATAGATGTCAGAGAAGCGCTATCTAGCTTAGTTATTTCTGCATTTCATACAAGCTTCTGTTTTTCTGCTAGCCCTTGATGTAACTAATTATTAAGCATATTGTAGAGATTAATTATTTATTGTAAATACTCACATTGATTATCTAGGATACCAAAAACTTGATCGGTTTACATTTTATAGTATTAGCCAAAGGACAAATGTAATGCATCCATCCATCAAGTTTGGTATTTATCTTATCATATAGTTGCTGATTTGTGCAAAAAAAGCTAAGGATGTACGATTTAGTTCGGATCATACGGTGACTACTCTGGATGTATGTATTTAAGAATTGTAGTTTTACTAATGTTCCTGAAGGAAACTATAACATCTATTTACAAGTTCAGCAATGAACAAGTAATAGTGAAGAGTTGTGTGTATTGAGATTATTCATTACACAAAATAATAACTGATTGTTGTTTTCGAAATCGTAAGTTTCATAGAGATATTGAACTGTTCTTTTAAGGAAAAAAATTTAAATTACCTTTCAACACCACTTCGATCATAGTCTTTATTATATGCAATGGGTTGTTTATTTTCTGGTGTTAAATATTTAAATGCGTCTGTTTCGACATATGATCTTTGGTCTATTTTTGATTCAGGAATAACTTGTAATGTGGCTGTACTTTGATCCGAATTTAGCGGATTATCAACAATACAAGTATAATAACCTTGATCATCTTTACATACATCAGTTATACGTAAAACAGACGTTTTTGTTGTTTGATCAAAATATGTTGAAAAACGTTTTCCAGCCATTAACGGTTTATTATCTTTTAACCAAACAATCTAGGAAAAACAGTTTGTTACTATTTAAGAATTGTTGTCGTTTCGTTTCGTCCTACTTTCGGTTTTGGGCTTCCTTCAACTTGACAACTAAATTGTACTGTACCACCTTCAAGTATCGAAGTATTCATTGGTGTTTTAAGAATTTTTGCTGGTTTTTGTTGTAAATTTGATGTATCTGAGTCTCGATGTCCTTTAAATGGACGAGGACCTGTTGGTTGTTTCTCAATGTATTTAAATGCATCTGGTTGTACATAGGACGTTTCATCAATGGCAGGTGTTTGTTCGACATCAATGTAAGCGTTTGTTTGCACATGACCTTGAGGATTTTTTGCAACCTAAATTGTAAAATTTCCAAGTAAACAAAAAGAAACGAGCTAGCCATAGTCAATTAGATACATACAATTGCATATGTCCCGCTGTCTTCTGGTCGCGAATCATTAATGCGCAATGTAATAGTACCACTGCCAGCATCATAGGCAATTTTATGTCGTGCTGATAATGGTAATGGAGCATTGTTTTTAAACCAGAAAAGCTAAATTAAATTGATTTCTTTTTTAGGCTAACGGTATAGACATATGTAAGAACAAACCTCAGATTTTGGAAAACCTTGCACTTGACATGTTAATATAATAGGTTGACCTTCTTTGACATTAGAATCTTGTAATGGCCGACTAAGCGTTGGTGCTGTTAATTGTCGTGATGGAGCAGCAGCTCGTTGAGTCTTTATCAAAGAAAGTTAAATCAACATTTTTGCCAGGAAAATATGATTTATGAATATCTATTTAAAACAATACGGTTTCTCACTGAAAGAAATCTGCCCTGTGTTGTTCCTACAGAATATTCTGATAAAAAGACTGAATTTAACATGTTTTTATTCGACTTTCTTGCCAAATTCAGCGTTACTAAGTGAGTTTTCATATTATAATCCACCGACAGAGATTTAACTAGTAGCTATTATTTTCTTTTTACCGGTTCATAGAATACATCGTCATCGCTTGTACCATATGAAGTAAAACTACTACGTGGTCCTACTGATCTTGATGGTCGCATACGTTTTATTTGTTTTTCTTCAAGTTCATGAACAAGTGCTTTACGTTGTGTAAGTTCAACTTTTTTCTTTTGCATATTTTCAAATTGTGCTAATCAATGAAGAAAATAATCATATCAATCGCGTTTTAGTTTTTTCCAAAAACAAAAAAAAAGAAATTTACTAGCTGGTATAAGTTTTGCACTTGATATTTCTTCGCCATTGGGCCCAGAAATTTTGACTGTATACGTTCCAACGTCTTCATTGGTTGTCGATCGTATAATAAGTCGACTTGTTCCATTCGTTGGATTAGTTATATGATAAACTCTAAAGTAAAATATTATTGATTAATTAAATATTTGTTTTTCGCCATTAAGTTTCATGTGCTATTTTACCTATTATTTAATTGCTGAGAATTATAAAGGATTTCAACATCATTGTGAAACCATTGTATTTTATCAGGATGTCCAGTAAATTGACATTCGAAGACAGTATCGGATCCTACATATAAAGGTTGATCTTTTAAACCGCCATTGATTATTTTAGGGTGTTGATCCGAATAATTTGCTCGAGAAGTATAATTAGGCAAAAGTGGAGGAGCTTGAGGAACAAATGATTGAGGTGTTACATTCTGAGATGTTACATATTGTGATTGTAGAGACGATGCTGGCGAAGCATATGAATGAGATGTTTGAGATGAGAGAGGAGTATATAATTGGGGAGAGGTTTGCTGTTGAGTAATCGTTTGTGTGGTATAGAAATGAGATGGTACCCGTTGTTGTTGTTGTTGTTGTTGTTGTTGTTCATATTGTTGATGATGAAGAGGAATTTGTGCATGACTTAAATGAGTTGCTTGAGTTTTATACACTGTTTCTTGAGGTACGACTTGATGCGATGTTCTCAAATGATGATGGGTTCGAGCAGGATTTTCTATGTGATTGAAAAGTAAATCAAAATGTTAATATTAGCATGAGTCGGTGAAAAGTTATTTCTAGTGAGAAAACTTAATTTCACTCATTCACAATCATATTTTCTATTCTTCTATGCTCGATTATTACTGTAGAACACTGTAATTTAATATGTATCATATGAAAATTCAAAATCAAAATGATTTTTTAAAAATATTTCTATCTATACCTGCAACATTAATATCGCAAGTTGTAGTTGCTGATCCAGCTGGAGTAGTAGCAACACACCATACTTGGCCAGTATCGCCTCTTGTGATATTAATAATTTCCAATGTTGAAGTGTCATGTTCGTCGATTATACGATAATGTATATTATCAGGTACAATCGGTTGAGAATGATGATACCATTGAATCTGTGGTCGACTATGTTGAGGACCAGAAGAAGTTAAATGTACTGTTATTTGAATAGTTCCACCTTCGAGTGCATCGATAGGTTCCAATGGCTAAACAAAAACAAGAAAAGAATTAAAATTTGACAGGGAAAGTTATTCAAGGCTAACATATGTTCTTCAATATCATTATATTGATAGGAAATCCTTGGAGTAAAATATGTCTAGCAGAAGATAATAGCTATTCAAGAATAAGCAATTATCAGAAGACAATGATATGTTCTGTTGATTTTTGCATAACCAACAAAAATATTGTATCTTACTGGAGCATTATTTATCTTATTGTAATGTTTTTTTCACGTTTAGAAGAAACTTTAAGAAAAGATTCTGATACTTATTTCCTATGAAAATCTGTCTCATATCATTCTAATTCCTTCTATTGCTATGAAATAGAGTTACAACATGCAAATATGAGATTTAACTTTGAATTTTATACAGTTTATTAGTATACCTTTGTAAAATTTGGTTTTGTAGTAATATATGAAGTTGAAGTAGGTTGCTCATGAGAATAAGCATAACGGATCATAGATGTAGTTGATTCTGTTTGCATATGCTCAGGTTCATGAGATACGTATTGTTGATATTGTGAATATGTAGGACCTGCTTGTTTAGCTACAGTCGCTACCAGACCACTGTTGCGTTGTTGTTGTTGATTTTCTGGAGTACTTGAAACTAAAAATGAAACTGGTTGAAATTTAGGTTGTGATCCATAAATTGAATATTTTTTTTCATTGTGTTGTTGTTCAGATGGTATTTGATAAATTTCAGTTTCTTCAGTAACTTGTGTTATTGTTCTTGATGGTTGCGAATAAAGATGATAGGATTCGAATGTTTGTCTTGGTCCTTGTTCATAATAAACTACTGATGAATCATTCATATGACGGCGTTTTGGTGCTGAACCTTCTCCGGTTGCTAAACAACATAAAACAATGAGTTGTTTTTTCAGGCAAACAAAAACTAGCTTATTTATACTTACAATCAACAGTAAGACGTGCTGTTGTACGACATGTACCCAGTGAATTTGTTGCTGTGCATGTATAATTGCCTTGATCATCAAAAAATGCTTCGGGTATATAAAGTGTTGTACGACCATCACCATAATAGTCGAGACGAAATGCTGAATCATCTCCAATTAATGTACCATCCTTATCCCAAACAATTTCGGCTGACGGTTGCGCTGAAATAAAATAGAATTTTGTTTTTTTATAAATCAAAATGAAAAACCGCGTTTAATACTTACCAGAGACAACAACTTCGAAAAGAACCGACTCGCCTTCTCGTGCGGTTTGATCATGTAATGACAGAGAAAAATATGGTGCATGATTTGAATCTAAACCAACTTTTGTGGTTAAAACTTTCGATATCGATGATAATGAACTGTCTGGTTGTAAAACTAAATCGACTTGATCATATGGTCTTATGCCACGAATAACCGATCGATTTGTTGTTTCACTATATCCGCCTGTATCTGATGATGTTATGGTTCGTTTTGTTGTTGTTGTTGTTGTATAACTACCATCGCCAACAGTTGCATAGTTTTCAATCGAATTATTAAACCCACTTAAACCACCTGATACAACAAATTCAATGGGTTTAAATTGACGTGCTGAATTTTCTAAATAAAATAAAATAATTGAATAGTTGAATTATTTCTGTCATTTAGACATAAGTATTCTTTTCTTCTGATACTAATAGAAAATAGAATAGCTATCAAATCGATATCGTTTCATTTAAATTGAACATATCGGTATATTGAATAGATAACAGAGCGTCTAAAAAATTTCCGATTTCCTTGTGTATTACGTGCTCAGAAAAAGAAGTCAGCTGTTTAAGGTCATGAACTTCTAAATGTAATAGAAGCCCACCCTCTCTGAGCGTATGCATAATAGCAATGTAAATAGTCGACTAGATAAGTTCATTATTTCCTGATGTGCACTTGTAACTTGTTTTGTGTACATATAATTTTGTCTGTTCTATATGCGATCGATTAATGAGCATATGATTCTCATTCATGGATAGAAACATACTATACATATACATGAACATTAATCATAGACAGGTGTAAAGGAACTAAGAAATAGGAAATAGACATGACGTAATATTATTCTGTCGCTTTAATTCTTCTTTTCAAACTGCTAATAGTCTAGAAGTGTAATAATGTAGATTTTTTTATTAAATTGGCAGATATATGTATACGAGTGGATTGCGATCACATAAGAGTTGTACATAACTTCCATATAAGTCTTTGACTTATACATTCATTTTTAAGCTGATGTTGTCTCGCAGAGCTACATTGGTAAATCATACTTCAACAATAGTGTTTGTCTTTCTCAACTCAACCAAGGCCAAAACTATATTGGCCTAGAAAAGTGTTTTCATATTTAATAGTCAACCAACTGTTAATATTTTTCTTGAAAGATATTAAGTAGTAAACTAAGTGTAATTGAACTAATTGATTCCTACTGGGAAACTGCTTTGGAATTATCTTAAGATTAATTGGATATCTAATACGTGAAGACGGATATAATTATTAATATGACATTTTCTCGCGTTAGCGAAAGAAGAGAATTTTATGTCGTAAATCAAATATTTGAGCATTGGTGAGAACTGATCAATTGAAATAGGGCAATTGGATGAACTTTGTAACTCGAATTCAAGATCAAAACTAATCATATGGTAGTATTAATCCTTGCCGAAAACATGTACTTTTCAATATTAAAAATGAACGGTCTTAAAGTATTAATTAACTCGTTACCAGCGTACCTTTTCTAGATTCTATATAATCTAAATGTCACATTTGATGGACTCATCAAAACTTAGAACAGCTTTCTAAGCAATAAGAAAGAAGATGGATTCTCAATAGCAAAAAATGTCATCTTTGACGCACTCGTCGAGGCGCTGATGCTACGCCTACAATTGATCTTTCGCTAATTTTTCTTTAATATTCGATTTTTTTTCTCACCTTAATGATTGGCATTCACAAAGAAAAGAATTTTCATTAGACCATTGTTATTGATCGACCGACAATATTTGTGATTTTGTCTAGGTAACATTCTTTTGTATCAAAGCTTGAAATTCTTCGCACATATTAGATTATTCAGATTTTGTTTTCTTTTAGTACATGATAAACATGTAGAATCATAAATTTCTTATTCTATTATATAGATCAATAAATAATTCAATTCAATTCATAGAAGATATTTCTCTATAAATGTTTTTTTTTACAAAGATAGTTTGACGAGAACATTATAAAAAGAATATGAAAACAAATAATTAAAAAAAAGTAGAATCTACGACGAGAGTTATACATAACCAATCGAAGTGTTGGTCTCAGTGACCATGACCAGAGAAAAATAGTATCATGCTTAGGACGGAGAATAGAAGAAAAAAGTTCCTGTGATCGAATCTAAAGATTACAGATATATATATATATATGTTCTGTAGTTTTCATACTATTATCTGATACATTGTATCAATCGAAATATCTGCAAAATATATGACTAGAAAAGCTATATCGAATTGAACTCAATACATAAAATAAAGTTTTCTCTAGACTAAGAAAAGAAATTTAAAAAAAAACAAGATTCATCCTACACATTTTTAGTAAAGAGTATTTTTATTAAATGATTATCTATTCTATCTCTCTTATGTTCAATTATTCATATATACTAAATCAATTTACCTGTACCTAATGATAACATTTTATCTGTTCCATTCGTAGCACTCGTCAACATTCTTGTATTATAATCTTGTCTATATTGTTGAGATATTGTCGACGCATTTCCATCTTCAACATTAAAGACAAATTCGACGGGTTGATTTAAGTCAGCATGAATTGTTGGTAGACCATACGATTGTTCCTGTTGACTTTCGATACCTAAAACATATATGGTTATTATTTTCTAAACAAGTATGATTTAGTTTAACTGAAAATACACGTGCATTCGGTTGCTGGTGTAACTCTACTAGTGCTGTTCCTAGGTTACCTTGTTCTAAGATAAATTGACTACTCGATTCTATAGGGTGTTGAGGGGGTGGTGGAATGATTATATGTTTTTGTGATGTGTCAAGTGTTGAATGAATATCAGTTAACATGACAGATATACTCTCTTGTATTGGTGGACGAGGAAGGACAAGTTCAACTTCAGACAGTTGATTCTGTTGAAATCGTATTTCAAATGAAACTGCTGATGCACTTTGTTCTAATGATTGATTTGTGTTTGTTTGTATTTGAATTGTTCTTGGATCTAATGCTGATTGTGCATTAGCAAGAAGCGTTGTTGAACTATTCTGAACAATCGGTTGTTTCATACGTATTTCAACAGATTCGGGTATGATATATTCTGTTGTTTCATCAAAAAAAACCGTTGCTGATGATATTTCAGGTTGAATTTCATTTGGCCGTATTTCTTTTGTTTCCAGTTGAGCTTGCACATCAGCTATCAATGTTGATGTGCTTTTATCGATATATTTTGGTTTGGGCACGATTAATTCAATCTCATTATCTGTAAGTTTCTTTCGTTCGATTAGACCATTGAATGACGATCTTTCGATATTTGATGGTACATCAATTTTCGTATGTAAACCAGCAATCGTACTTACTGATGATTCAATATCAAGACGTGGAAGGATTAACTCAAATGGTTTTATTTGTTGATCTGTATTCAATTTCATTGTTAAATTTGTACTAGATTCTTCAATGGGTTGTTGCATAAGCGGAGTCCCTTTTAATGGTCTTTGAAAAATTGATTCAGATTGAATATTCTCTTCAATATATGATTTATGTTGATGAAATTCTTTGGATTCTTCATCTTTATTTATTTTTTGTTGTATTAATTTCAATTCAAAATCTGGTTGAATATTTGCAATTAATGTCGCTGAACTATCGTATACGTATGGTTTGTCAAGAATAAGTTCCATTTCATCAAATTGTTGATAACGTGTTACATTATTTATTTCTCGATCTTGTTTATATGAATTATCTTCTGTTAAAAGAATTTCTGTCGGCTTTATAGATGTTATTTGTGTTGATGCTGGGATATCAGCAATTAATTTTGATACACTTGGTAAGATTACTGGTCGTTTAAAAGCTAATTCAACGGGTTCATATTTAGGTCGTGTTTGTTTAATATATGTTACTTGATGTTCACCTTCTTGTGAATGCTGAACTATATTTTGTTTAGAAAATAGACCTTCCATTTCATCGTACGATTCAATAGGACGATCATAATAGTTTACTGCGTGTTGACCTAATGAATAAGAAACTTTTTATAAAGAAAATGACACGTACAGATCTCTTTTTTTTACCAAGAATTGGTTGCGTTTGACCGATGGTAAAGCTTTGTGGTTGTCCTTTAATGATTGTTGAACTATGTTCAGCTGGTAGTGTTGGTTTTTCGATTAATAATTGCATCATATCAGCTTTTGTTTTTTTCCCACTACCTGTTATTTCTAAAACACGTCGAGATGGTTGTTTTTCAGTAACGATTGTTGTTGTATGTTCAAGTTGTTTCATAATTGATTTCGGTACAACAGATTCTACGGTTTTAGCTGAGCCTGGTTGAATTGGTTGATCAGCAAAACGTACTTCACGTTGACCTTTTATTTGTGTTTGTACCTTATCAAGAAAAACACTTGATGCTGGTGTACGATTTAGTTTCACTATTGTTGATGAATGATGTGTTGATGTAGGTAGTGAGAATTCTACTGATTTCTTCGATAAATTTGATTGAATGGATCCGAACCTATTATGTAAATCGTATGGGCCAGACTGTGTACGTTGATGTGTTAATGTACTACCTATATCGACAGTATGAAAACGATCACCTCTTGCAGATCTAGTAATATTTATTGATGAATGCTTCATAGGTAAGGTTTCAATAGGTTTAAAAATGGTAGATTCGACAGGCTGTATTGTTCCTGATGTAATTGGTTTATCAAAAACACGTAATTCATGTTGACCTTCAATGGTTCGTCGCCGTAGTGGCTGATGAATATTGGTTGTTACTTCACGACATGCATATCGAACATCTTTGACAACAGTTGATGAATGACCTCCGTGCGTTTTTGTTATTTGAGATTTTGATAAAACAGCTTCAACGGGTAACCGTTCAGCTCGAACATACTTAATACTTGTTTCATCTGGAACCGAATTTGTCGACGAGTGAATATGAATAGGTTTTACTAAACGTTGTTGATGTTGAAGAGAATAATCTAATGTTTTTATATTATCGACACTTAATGTTAAGACTGTTTTTACAAGGGGTTTTAACTGTTTATAAAGTAAATTTTCCGAAAGTGAATGTTGATAAGTAGTTTGATCTTCTGTGCGACTTACAGATTTTGGCAGACAACGATAAACGCCTTCACTATGTTGATCTTGTTGTTTTGTTTCATACATAGTTTTATTTTTTTGATTATTTAAAGAATTATTCTCTCGGGGTAATATTTTATATTCATCTGTTAAATCATTGAGACAATCAAGAGATTCACGGTGAATATTCAAATCATTTCTATATTGTTGATTATTATTTTCAGATGATGAACGTCGTCGTTTTTCAAGTTCATATTCATATTCATAGCATGTTGTAGTTTTATTTTGTTTTTGTTGTTCTTTATTATTTGTAACTGACGGCTGAAAAATTTGTAATTTCGTTGGATATTGCCGATTATGATGAAAATCGGTTGCACGTGTTAAGGATTGAGTTTCTGTTGGACGATATCGTTTATTATTATTATGATTATGATTATTACTTGAAGAAATAAACGATGATTCTTGTCCCAATGAATATGGATTGGCGAATAATTGTTGTTGTTTTTTCTGTTGCTGCTCATTTTCACTGTGTCTTTTATGCTGTGAAAGTGGAGGCGGCGATTTTTTGACAAACCTATCGGGCAACATGTTCTTATTGTTGCCACTACCTTTCGACTGAGATATACATCGGCAAATTATTTATTGTTACTTACTATTTCTAGAGTTAGGATATAGTATATATATATATATTTGGCATTGCGATAAGACAGTATTCAATGATATCCGTTGAATGGAGACACTTCCTTTGTTATGTCAATTATAGATTGTATACAAGAGAGTACATCATCGTTAGTGCTGAAAGCGAGCATCAAGCAACAAAACTAGATAAATGCATTTCTATTTAGAAAACAAACAAATTCTGTCCTATTTGAGTAGCCACCACCACCGCAATGACACACAAAAAAGAAGATAAGGGCGACGACAAGAAAGAACATGACATTCCATAATAATGTGCCTATTGTTGAAAAACCGCCTACCTCTGTTGATATCGGCATTACCACTAGTTGCAGTTCGATGTGTAACTGCCCTCATTTTAACACGTGATGTTGATGTAGAAGGAGATCCTAGATTAATAATTTAAAAAAATAACCACATGAGAAAATGGTGACCACTTCTCACAGAGACAAAGAACCACAATCGACTGATACGAGTTTGTACAGCTTGGATATATTCCTTCGTTTCTTTTTTTCCTTTTTCTTCTTTCCAATAGGAATATGTTCCCTTTTCTATCTTTTTTTTCTTCCTCTTTTCCTAAATATGTTATGGTATTTTCCAGAATCAATCATTCTCCATGAGACGATATGTACTTCATACACACACGTATTCTCGAATGCGTCTTTTTTTGCATGCTTATATATAAAGAATAAATGCCTAGGAGACGGAAGGATAGACATAAACCAACTTCCTTTCTATCTTATCGTGTTATTTTTCTCCATCAGTCGTTCGCTTTCTTTGCTAGATCGTTACACAAACAAGTATACATCTTGGCACATCACGACGGCGACAACAGGACCAAGATGGATATAGAGAAAATGGATTGTTATCTCTTTTCTTTCTTTCTGATTATTAATATAAAGAGGAGAAAAGAAAAATGGCGACCAACAATCGTACAAATATTAGTCTGTAGGCGGCAACAACATTTGTTGACGATATTGAGACAGAAAAAAAAGAAAGATTTGTTGATTTTTATTGATCTCAAGGGCTCTCTATTATAGGTCTATTCTGTATTGTTAATAAGCCAAACGAAAGAACAGCATAACCATAAATGCTTACAATGAAGTACTACTTATCTTTCTTGTATTCTTTTCATCAATGATAAAAGAGCATTCACAAAGCAGATGCTAAGCAAAATATTTAAAATAATAGGTCTATTCAAAGCAAAAAAAAGACAATATACTCTAAATTATATACATGAATACTGTCTATTTAAAAATAAAGCATTAGCGTGATATAGGTACAGTCGAGTGTGTTGGTGACTTTTTTTTTGTTGATAATTTCTTACCAAATACTGAAACAGTAGGAGGAATGAAAAGTTCAGCAGTACACGTTGCTTTTCCCCAGTTATTTTCTGCTTGTAAAGTATATTTTCCAATATCTTCATAGCGAACGTTGCCTATTGTTAATGTATAAGTATCTTTGAAATTGTTTTGTTGATAACGTTTATTATTTCCTAAACGGTTTATCGGTGATCCGTTAAGTAGCCAGTTGACCTTGAAAAGAACAAGACAAAATATTTATCTTCTTTTTTTTCAGTACAAAAAAATTACATTCAATGGTTGTGTACCAGTAACTCGAGCTTCAAATTTAATTGTCGAACCAATCGATGCTTTTTGATCGTTAAAGAATTGAAGAAATTCAGGTGAATAACCCGTTGGTTCAATAACCATTGGTTCAGGAACAATATTGACCGGTAAAACATTTACTCTAGCTGAACATTTCGATTCACCTTCGGCATTAATTGCTTTAACTTGATAAACACCAGTGTCATTCATGGACAATCTAGGTATTTCAAGTATATAAACATCATTTTCAGTTCGAATCTATGAAGACAAAAAATTTTAAATGAACAATCAGGCTTTTTTATTTGTGATATCCGTCGTAAAACATACTTTACGATCAAATGCATTCTTCAATGGTTGATTATCTTTATACCAAACAATTTGTGGTTTGGGTTGTCCATCGGCACGTACTTGGAAGAGAAGTTTTTCACCTTCGTGAACTGTTGCATCTTGTAATGCTTGAATAAACATTGGTAATGAACGATTTGATTGAGCACGTGCACGAAACATATTTATTCCATTTGATTGTATACTCACTTGACAAGTAGATTCAGCTTGACCCATTGAATTCACAGCGGTGATACGATAGATTCCTGCATCGTTTTCTTTTTCGCATCGATCTTTGATTAATTTGCATAGCTGTCCATCAAATGTCAATGTTAAATCACGAGAATTTTTCAATGGAATATTATTACGATACCAAATAATCTTAAAATAAAGTAAAGATTTTACAATAGAAAAACTAAAATACGCATAGCTTTCTTTTTTTATACTTCAGGTTCAGGATGACCATTTAGTGCAGCATGTAATTTTAATTTTTCTCCTTCATTAATGTTTGTGTCCCGAAGTGGTTGAACAATTGTTGGTTTACATAGTGTTTCAGACATTTCTGATTCACTTAAATTCGAAAGAACAAAACATTTTCATTCAAGTTTATTTTTTTGTACTGCTAATCAACTTACGGTGTACGACAGAAAAATTCTTCAACACTTAATTGCGTAAATGAACGTGCTTCACCTAATGCATTACGAATTACAACTGTATATGAGCCTGTATCTTCTGGAAATGCTTCTTTAATTAATAATGCTGTATAGTCGACTTCTTTTACAACCTATGTTTAGGAGAGAAAAACTGTTATTTTATTTTTGTTTATTTTATTCATAAAGCAAACCTTAAAATCTCGTGAAATTCCAAGTGCTTCGAAATCAATAGGATTTCCCTCTTTGAGCCATTCAATGTCAATTTGAGGTGAAGCATCAAAACGACATGAAATTTTAACTGGTTGTCCTTCACGTATTAAATAAGATGCTTGCAATGGTTCTGTAAGACGTGGCTCTTGTTCAGATGACATTTTAATGTCTATGAAAAGATAAAGTTGCAATAAAAAAAACGATTTCAATTACATTTTAAATTTCTGCTTCTTTTCGAAAAGAAAAAAAAGAAGAACGCGACAGATACAAACATGCTAGCGATTCTGTCGTCTAAACTAATAACTCGTTTATTCATCATCACATCTCAAGGAGATCTTAGGCTACCAGAGTAGAGAATAGCAAAAGACAATACCGCAGTATTCGATCTTACGTATACAAAAGGAAGACGTTATCGTTATAGAAAACCATTGGGTGTCTACTATCTTCTTCTGTTCTTCTTCTCTTATTTCCTCATATACCATCGCGAAAAAAAACCAGATAATGCATGTTTTTCTCTTTTTTTCTCAGTCCTTTTTACCATATTGCTATCGATTAGATACTATGTCAAAATCAGTTATTCATATATATATATATACAAAAATATATCACGAAAAAAATGTTTCCTTCAGTTATTTAGCTCTAAGTACCAAGCGATATAAAATTGTTACTCTTCTTTTTATAATTCAATATCATAATGTTCTTCAATAACGAATGGCATTTATACATTGCAATAGAACTCAACATTCTATATTTTGGAAATGTAATGGTTCGATAAATGTTGCAATCTAATGATGTTGATGCGTTTATTGTCAACACTCTATCAAGGATATTCATACTAAAATTAGATAAGTAAACAGATATGACTATTTTTTTCTCCAAATATGTATATGCAATACTTGAAATATATATATACACAGTTTGTATGTGAAAGAATTTTATTACAAAGAAAAGAAAATCAGAAAAAATCATAACTATAAACTTTGAGCATAAACGAAATACAAATTTTATCAGGTTTCTGTGACAGATCAAAAATGAATATTTTGTTTTCTAGAAAATTATATCTAACCAAATCTTATAACGTATTGACTGACGTGTATTCCCAGGATATGAATGTACTATAAGATTTCATTCAAACTAGTATCAAAAACAAATGCGAAAGAGAATATTAATATCAATCCATTAGTCAAAACTAATATTTGTTTTGCCAAAGCATGTAACAGTCATTTTATGTGAAAAGACAAGTGACAAATTTTGTTTTTTCTTCTCTAATTATTTGTGCATTTCTTATCAAATTTCATCTCTAATTGGATACCAATAAGAATGCCAGCTGGTCATAAAAATGCAAAGACGGCACAAAGAATTACGACAAAACAAAAAGACACTTTCTTTAAAGTGCTTCTTTGAATGCAATCATTATGAAAAGTTTATGATCGTCGGATTAAAGAGAAATCATAAGATAAGAGACAGCAATGAGATATAACGTCGAAGACTTTTATATTGATTTGTTACAATGTCTCTGTAGTTTTATTTTCTACAATCGAACATTGTTTATAATTCGACTAAACAGTATGAGACCATACGTTATCCGAAAAGATTATGTTTCCTAAAGCAAATTGAACATTATTATTATCGATTATTTTGATGTGAAAATGTATAAGTGCCATAAAGGTCATTGTCTGAGAGATGACAAAAACAAGAATCTAGCAAGAATAAACATCTATCAAATAGTTCGAAATATAGATAAAAACATTTGTCCTACAGATGGTATTTTCAAACCAGGGATTTTCTTCGTCCATATAAATATGAGGCGACATGATTCTAGTGAAGGAAACAGAAAAATTGGCCATTAGTGTTAGGTGGTAACCGCAGAAAACCATGTTTATTTATTCCGGTCGCTTAACATTGTTGTAACTTTCATATAATGTTGCGCTCTTTTATATATTGCATGAGATCAATTCATTAGAAGCAGATGTTTCCTTTTCTCAATTTAAAGCACAACAGATTATTAAAGTCGCTGATGTGAGGCTAGCTTCAAAAAGCATTTCTCATGTCAGCCAGTTTTTATGATTATTCCTCGAGTAAAAATGCTCTTCGATCAAAATAGCTAAGAAACTAGAGAATCGATAGTCTTCAATGAGATATGCGTTCATTAAAAAAGCAATTCTTTTTCATTTCATCATTTGTTTTTACTAATTTTCATGGTTTTGAAAGAGCTGATTATGTAAAAACCTAGATGAAAAACTCTGCTTAGAGCTCTTTTATGTAGTAACATCGAGTGGTGATTACAAACAGTGGCGGCGGAGCCACTGAGACCCATGAGGCTTGAGCCTCACCTAGATTTCGCAAGATGAGGATCAGCCTCACTTGCTTTTTGTGCTGACTATTGCTTTTTTTATTCTTGCATCAAAGTAAGAGCAAAGAAAAGTATATTGTGGTATTTTCCAATCTTCTTTTTTATACTGGGCATTTTTATTGTTACTGAAGTTCAATAAAAAGAAGACTTATTTTCTGTTTGATGTTTTCATAAAATTCCACATTAGAAAAAAATATATTATGAGTCTCACCTAGCTTAATGACGCTCCCCCCACTGCAGTTGTGTGACTTTGACATTGTATTTAGTACACTACGTGCAAATTTGTGCGACCAAAATCTACCAGGCAATTCGGATGGGTACTCAGGTATGAGCAAAGCGCAAAGAGAAATTTCTTTTCAAACTTCGAAAATGTCCTAATTTCAGTGACTTATGTCTTACCCAGATAAGCTATTAAGAAGAAATGACACAATATAAATTCCATAGAAATCTCATTCACAGTTGAAGGTATAAAATGTTTCAATGCTTCGACAACATCTTCACTATGGTTTTTTGTCATCGGAAATAATTCTATTTGTAAAATAGTTAACGTTTAAACCTATTGATTTTTTTCCTGGTTAGTTGTGAGATAATTAACGTTCTCAGTTTGAAAAAATATATATAAATGTACATATTCGAAGGATTAGCAGGATTTTGACCATTTGTTTTTCGGAAAGTGTTTTGGAAGCGTACTCGGTACGATTCTATTAAAACAGATCAGAATTCAAAATTTAAATGAGTTTTAAGTAAGAGCCACACAGGAAATATTTCAGTTTCATAAATACCATTGGTATAATTCGGCTCTTCACACTCCCATTAGTATCACTGAACCCGTCAGTAACTAAGAATTTTCTATTCGCCAAGACAGAAGCAGTATGGCAGATGCGTGGCACAGCCGTATCATCTCCCTTCGTTTAGATTCCTGATGATGGGTCGTACAATTATGAGCTATTTGAATATAGCTTAAAACTGTGTCTGCCATCGTAAAATCCGCCAACAACTAACACCTTTCCATTTGCTAACAGAGTGGCCGTGTTATCTACTCGAAAAACAGTCATCCTGGTAACTTTTACCCAGATTGCTGTTGATGAATCATGCATTTCTGAGCTTTTTCAAACAACCCAATCACTATAGCCATTATTATCCAAAAACTATCCGTCAGTAACCGGAGCTTTTCCATTGGACAATATAGTGACTGTGTGATAACATTATCCCATTGTCATATTACCAGTCTTTGTCCAAAGCTCTGTTAGCGGGATCATAGAGCTCTGAAGTCTTGAAATATGGCCAAGTAATTGATCCATTCTTGTAATATCTTTCAGCAACTAAGACGCACTAGGTTTTTTATGAAATTCATTTCATCAATATGTAGAACCAACCAAAAGTTGTATTATACTCTGTTGATCATCAAATCGGAACCAATTTTTAAGTAAGTCGAAAATAACCCAATAGGAGGGGCCCACGAGAAGTTTATTTTATCCCTGTTTACTTCTCTCTCTCTATATATATATGTAAATAGGGATAAAATAAATTTCTCGTGAACCTATGCCCAATATAGAACAATCTTTTACTAGAACTCATATTAAGAATCAGAAAAAGGCTATTGAAACATAATGAAGTTTGTTTGAATTTTGATTATTTCAAAAGATATCTGTGAATCTAAAGCAGCTAGTATGCTAAAGTGAGACTCGACGGAACTATTCTCAAAACTGTAACAAATAGCTTTGATTAGGAAGATAAGTCACTTACTCGAATCATGAATTTAAAATGAGTTTCTTGTCAATAGGATCAAATTTTAGAGAATGTGCTGCCAATAGATTTCTACCTTTTCGATGAGTATCCAATTGTGGATGGTCCGTATGATCATTTTTCATCTTTCGACTATATATTGTAGTTCTGTTTAGCCGAGTATGTACTAAATATATCAGTCCTACTACTAATCGTAACGACTAATATAGTTCTAGTTTTTACGACAATGTTGAGGACAAGAAATTAAAATATTAAATTGTATCATGGCATATTTTACTTTCGGTGTACGATAGATTTGATGCTCTAGTAGTAGACAGTGTAGTACTGGATGATACAGGCATTGGCTGTCTTGTAGTGGTTGGCGCCGAGGCTAAAAAAGCGGGCGTATAATTAGCCAAAAACAAAAGATTGAAATGGCACAAAATATCTTCGAAAATCTCTACCAAAATCTTTTCCAACAGCTAAATGATGTATAAGAAATTAAATCTTGGAAAATTTAATACATCTTTTCAGCCAAAGTCACTTTGAAGTGATTTTATTCGAATTTAGAATAAGGTTTTCTCTCAAAGATGTGATTACAGGTTATAAGATACACTCCTCAGAACTAATTAGAAACTCTCGAAACATTGATTGGGGTGACCTTGTACATTTTTCGAATATTATGGTTGCAAAAACTTACTTGAAGTCATTTCGGATATTCCTGAATTTTGTGGAGGACATCGTTGAGAAGAACCTCGTTCAAGAGGATAGCATAGAGGAATTTTCCATCGAGTGTTGTTGACACATATCGTATTGGGTGTCGTGCATGTCTTATTATCACCTGACCTATAAGAGACTATTCAGAACATGAAACTCGAAATAAATCGTTTATAATCATGCACTGAACAAAAATGTTTTCGTCGTTCCAATCGTTGAGTCGTAATAAACACGATGCTCATCATGGTTCAGTTCATGGATGCTTTGTTTTAGATTAGTATCTATAAAAAAAGAAAAGATATGTGAAAGTTTTACCTGTGATCATGGTGATCAGAAGCCTAAAAACAATGAATTCGTTTGAAATGTTTATATTCTTTTGACACGGTTGCATACATCGTTACTGCAATTCTATTTAGAAATTGTTGACTTTTATCCATATCAAAAGTTGAATCTAGTCGAAATATTCACAGAAAAATGTGGAAAGACAGTTTTCTTAAATACGACGCTTAGATGAATTGATATAAGAAGAATATCAGCCTCTGATGTATTTGTTTATGTTCATTGAACGATAAGGACTATGATGCTTTTTTAAGTCAGTTCGTATGTTTGGTCACACTACATTGCGACGTAGTTTGCATCATCGTTAACGATCGACTAAGTCTATTCCAACTCGAATTAATATACGCTCAATAGAATCGACAACGTATTTAAAATGTTACTTTTGATCACAGACAGAGAACACAATTATATGGACACCACAACATGCTGTTTTTGCCTCCAAAATTGTGAATTCTGGCATATTCAACTCTAGCATGCGTGAAGAATCTTTGTAATTACATACTATTCACTTCAGTAGCATAATTCAAGAGCTGCAAGGATAGGCTCTCTGTAAAATAAAATACAAGAAGGTTTAAAGTATCTCGAGAGTATTTGATTTTCTTTTGCACTCTTAGCTTGTTTGCATAACATGAGCTAATAAGATTATTTTCGTGTAAATAGAGGAAGTTAATAGACAGCAAGTGAAAAACGCGATGTTAAATTCAAGCACCCTGTACTCACAGGAAAGAACGATAGATTTTTTATTTAGTTAATTTTCAATCTGATACAGGTTTGATATGCGGATTTACACGTAACATGTATTCTGTAATGTGACGAATCCGTGACTCTCCAGTTGATGATTTTTTATCGCTGGGTAACTGCATGATTTAGTATGAACAATAAAAATGTGAATTTTGAATGGCAGCGTCGTATTGATCTAGATATTTAGTTATACCAAAAATCCTAACCGCAATTAGATCACTGGACATGACTTTGATTGATCGCTGACAACAACAAATTACTCTGAACGATTCTGTATGAATATGTGTGTACCTTGTGTGGTGAAGCCTATTTGTACTTGTCTATAGCAATGTTCTCTTTTTCATTATTTTATGACCTAGAGATCAATTTGACTTATACGATGTCAAAAGAATAACAATTTTGCTTTTATAAAGAAATAAGTCAGATTTGCATCCTAAAGAACTTAATGTTACATGCTCAATCTATATCTCTTTTTTTGCATTCTGCAGTATCATGCCATATTACCAATATCTTGCATAGGCTTGTTCCAACATAATCATCATAAATTGATGAAATAGCATTAGTTTCTATGCAAAGTAAAATGGATAAAATAAAAATAAGAATACTGATCGATTGCATTATACAGAAACACAAGAAATTCAGGTGAATTAAACGAGTAGAATGCTTTGTGCTGAATAAAATAGAAAGGAAATTTTCGAAAATCAGTGACATTTTGTTTGCGTGTATTATAACTTCGATTATATAGAAAGACAATGTCAAAGTGAGAGTCGGATTTTTTCATGTAGATGTGTGGTATTCAACTGGATCAGTATTGCAAGTTGTAAGATTTTTCTCTAAGGTATTAAGCTAAGGTTGGATGACAAATTGAAAGTCAATGCTCGGGTAGATTTTGTTCTAACATAAGTGAGTTTTAATAACGACGAAGTCGTGTTTATGAATAGATATGCGTAGAGAATAAAGTTGTATCCACACATATCGACACTCTCCGCTCATAAGGTTGCAACAACGCAAGCTAGAATACTTGTGTTGTTGCATATTGATAAAGTAAGCGATTCAAATCCTATATTCAATGGTTACTCGTTTGTCATTTGAAGGACAATTTTATTTAGATTATAAAAATGAAATATGCATACACACAAATGTAATTACAGATAAAAAAATATATAATCTGGAGAAATATATACATCTTGTTTAATCTAAATGAAACAGAGTAATAAGACAAAATATTTATTTTTCCTCATCCATCTCATGATAGAAGCAAATGAGTTGTTTCAGCAGCTTCAAGAATCTTTATAAAAGCAAAAAGAAAATTGAGTTAATCATAATTATTTTTAATTATTTGTTTTTACCTGTCGAATTGTAATAGTAGCATCTTCTTTAGCTTTATCCAATAAATCAGTTTGGCCACGCAATAAAGCAAGATTACCTGAGAAATTATCAATAGCTTTGGTAAATTTTTTTCCACGTAAACCATTTGTTTCAAGTAATTTTGAAATATCTTTACTTAAATCAGATATTTCCGTTTGTACACTCACTAACTATATGTATATATATATATATGAACGGAAATATAAATCATGCATGTAGATAAACCAATTTTACCTTCTTATGTATGACAGTACCATTATCTATTAAAGCTCGGCATTGATTAGTGACCTAAAATAGTTTCAAGTTTCTTTTGTCTATTATATTTGAAGTATTTCGTTACTTGTTCTAATGCTGCAACACTCTGGCGAGATAATTCCGGCAATGTTGTTGAATATTCAAAGATTGGCACCTTTCAATTATAGAGCATTAATGAATGTATAGAATTCTAAAACATTCAAGATTTGTTTTTCGAAAGAAAAACTTACATCAGAGTTATTTCGTATAGCAACAGCGCCAACTAGATTTGCTTTTTGTAATCGGGTAGCTATTTTTCGAACACATTGTTTAACATTTGATATATCAGGTAAACCACACATCTCATTTAATCCATGAAGACTTTGTTCAACAGTATGACGATATTCGAAGGCTGCTTCTAATGGTTGAATAGCCGACTAAATATTTTGAAAAGAAAGACAATAACTAAAAATGAACACAAGTCATTTTTTTCTCATTTTACTTTAAATAGATCATCGATCTGTTTATGATACACTGGTCGAAATGACGCAATACTCAATTTACGACGCATTAACGAATAATGATAACGGGATGATGATCGGCGGGGTTTCTGCTTGCAAAAAGAAAAAGATAATATATTCATGTAGATCATAGAAAAGCATACAACAGCCAAACATTTGCTATTAATAACAATATGAACAAATAGGTAGGCATCGGCGATAAGTTCTCCACTCATAGTGTGAAGATGAACATGTCGATAGCCTTAAATAAAAACAGAATTAATAAGAAAACAGATCTTTGTTAAATTTAATAACCTGTTTGAATAGATTCGAACGGTAATGTATATTGTCCAATGAAGTCATAATCAAGTGAATCATCATCAAGTACAACAAATCTGACGAGTGCTAGTTCGGGAAAAGCGATTTCAAATTCAAATGCTTCATTAAATTGTGGATTCTCCGCTAAATAATTCATATAATATGAAGAACAATAAAAAAAAAGAAAACTAAAATATGGACTTACAATTGTGATAAACAGTTTTTGTCCGTACTTCATCTGAATCTGTTGGTACACCAAATATTTGTACAACAACATATGGATCGATAGAATTTGCTTTCAATTCAGCTTGTTCCGGTCGTGGAAGATGTAGAGCACTTATTATCTTATCGAAATAAAGTAGATAATAAATTTTCAAAACAAAAAAAGCATCATTTCTTATTTGAATACTTTTATATGAAGTATTTGAGGTGTATTAGATGAATAGAGATTAGTAGATAATCTACCGGTGACTATTGATGGCGGTGTTGCGGTTATGTCTGTATTATCGGATCTTAAATAGCGTGGCTTAAGAACATAACCACAATTACCATTGGTTAGAAAACGACCAAAATATACATCCATAAATTTTCCAGCTGTTTGATAATTCATTGCCACTAGATAAAACAATATTCTGATCATTGTTTCAATATTAATATAAATTTACAACCGAATAGCAGCAAAAACAATAAATTCAATATGAGAAAAATGAAGTTAAGCTTTTGGTCTATCCTGTAGTATATAGGTCTCGTATTGAACGTTTAAATTTGCACGCTGAAGATGTACAAAATAGAATAAAAGCTAGAATCGTTTTTCTTCAGTTTGATTATGATAAAAGCCTATTCAGTGCATCTCTAATATGAAATGAACGGTTCGGTTTTAAAATTCCGAAAAAAAAACGACAACAGTATTCTCATTTCATATTGTTCTCAATAGAGTCAATATTTTCCAGTTGTGGTCGCCTATCCTGAAATCTTGCTGAGAGACCAACTGCTATTTCATCTAATAACAATCAAAGCTTTACTTCTAGTAGATGTAACTAGCCTCTATCTAAAATAACAAACGCAAATGTTCCATTTTTTATCATTGAAGATATATTTTCATGACAATTTAAAAAATGACGAGGTTCAATAGCGAACATTTTGTTAATATTATCAATCAATGCTTCTACGATAGATTCAAAGTCACCATATTCTCCACCAAAATTTATCTGTGAATTACACAATCGAATCTGTAATTATTCCTAAGATATGAAATAATTAATTTGACTTTAAATATCTCTTCGAATTAACTCCTCATTAAAATCTCTTTCTAATTTTTAAGATTCACTTAGAATCAACTAACCCATCTGACAGCCAACATTCCAAAAATCTTGCGGATTAAGATTTGATGAGTCAACACGCCATGTTCCAGGAGTCACACGTGATATAAAACGTTTATTATAATTAATGAATTCTTCGGCATCACTCGTTGCTAGATGAAGACCAGCATTTTCACTAAACGTACATATCTGATCAGGTTGTTCTATAATTAGCAATCAATAAAGCAATAGGAATGCAAAAACGAGCGCTTACGTTCATTAAATGCAGCATTGAAATCTTCGAATGGTGCTGAACGAAGTAAGCAAACAAGATCAGAAAATGCTCTAGATAATTTTCGATGTTTTTTGCTATTTGATTCCTATCGAGAGAGAGAGCGAGAGAGAAAAAAAAGATATTCATTTATTTAATGCTAAAATCGTCTTTTCAACCTTTCTAGATCTCCTTCGAGTAACTTCATAACAATCTGCATCGTCAATAATTTCACCGTATTCTTTATTATTTTCATTGGAAAAACATGGTGGTAGTTTTTTACTCTAAAACAAGACGTTTATTGATATTTTTCTTTTTATTATTGAAGTGATTTCTATTCATTCGTTTTCTTTTACTTTAATAATAATCTTTCCACGTAAATCATTTGGAGATGGAAGAGATCGATTTTTGTTTGAATTTATATTAATATTCATGGTTAATAAAATATAATGAAGGACAAGTTTTTCACCGAATGTTTCAACCAATAATTGAGCAACAAGTTCTTGTTGACTAATGCTACATTGTATTTCTATGCATAAGATTAACGGATAGCTGGAACAAAAAATAGATGATTTGAAAAATCATGTAGAGATCAGTATTAGTAGAAATTTTACTCTGTTTTTTCAAATGCATGAGAATTAATAACATCAAGTGCTTCACTTAAAGGAATATGAGACGTTAACGTTCCATTATGTATCGACGGTTGACCATCGGAACCATCAAAACAATGAAGATCCAAACAACGGCAGCCATGCCTTAGAGCATGAATAAATCCGTCAACACTCGACGGACCTTTTAATTGATCAGCCAAAAGAAATCTACGAATATACCGACATAGAAAAAAAATCATGTTATCTCCTATTGATTTTTCGAAAGATTGGAATATTACTTAGTTTAATTCTTTCGAATTCATGACTTCTCACTCATGAGCGATATAGAAAATTTTTTGAACATAAATTCGAGGTATTTAGTTGCCTTTGCTTATCTATTTATTTGAGACTCTCAAGTGTTTCAGATTCGCAGGAATGGAATATAATTATAAATACGTAACACTCCCAAATACGACTCTTCAAAATTGATGGAATCTTCAATTTCGACTAGGAAGAGATGAGTATCGATTGTATTTCTTGAATCTATTTTCCTTAACTCTTCATTGAACACAGTGCCTTCAGAGTATTTTTAAAAAACTAGGACTCATGATAAGATACATAATAAAGTGAAAGCTAAATTAAAACAGACATCAAAAAATAAGAATTGTCTTTCGTCATATTTGTCCAAAAATACTTTGTGGATAATATTATTAAGTAGCTAAGTTAATTTCTCACACCCTCGAAGAGTTTAGAATATTACATATCTAAAAGCAATAGTGCTCGTACCCATCATTTGATACTTGTTCATAATAACTTTCACCTCGATATACTTTCCGGTCGCGTAACATGATTCAGTCAGGTAATACGATTTGCTACCTGCTGAACATGAGCAAACTAGTAGTGCGAAATGACTCCCTTCCAAATAACTCTTCACACGCATTTCATGTCTTCGTCTTTATTTCATATAGTAACCGTTACGCCGCACATTCTCAATATTTTATTGGCTACATTTTTTTAGTCAATAGATCATATACTGAATTGAAATTCAGTAATATCAAAGGATAGAAACCAGCATGAAACAACAAGCAAACTAATTTCTTTATTTACGTATTATGAGATGAAGCTATAAAATAATGATTGAGTGATTGATCCATATCTTGGCATACTGATGCATTAGTTGGATTGAATATGTCACATTCTGGTGATAGAAGAAAATTCGTAAAACCTAGATATTTCATAATAAGATATAAGTTATAGATTTTTAATCTGTACATCCGTAACTTACCATCTATACCTAAATGTCCTAATAGTTTTGCTTCAGTTGATGGTTCGAATCTTTTAATAATGTCTGCACATTTTTCACTTGTAACTTTAGACGTCTAATAAAATAAGTAATTCAATTGAAATTATATTCGAAAAGAAAAAGTTACGCCTTGTTCAGCTTCAAGAAATAATGTAAGATCTTCTGTTGAAAGAAAGTCTTGATTTCGAGAATATCTAAAGCGAAAAATTTCAATAGTAAAATGATTATATAAATTTGTATCAAATAAAATACCTGACTAAAAGATGATAGATTTCTGGTCGAGTTGTAAGTTTTTTAAAAACATCAACTAGATCTTCAGCAGAAAATAGTCCACGTCCGTCTTCATGTTTTCTTGTTTGAAGTTCCTTTGAGAATGAATATTTTTTATTTTCGAATCGTTTAAATAAATAAAAATAAAAACATTGGACCTACTTGTAATCTAATCTTAGCTTTATCTTGAGAAATTCCATAATCTCCAAGTAATCTTACAGCTTCTTCTTCATCGATGGAGCTTTTCGCCGAGAGTGTTTGATATTCATTATGATTAATTTGCTCAGATTCACTTGCCGAAGATGATAATCCAACAGCGAAGGCATCACGTAACCAGCGATCACGCATCTTTTGTCGGTCTTCAAAATCTATTAATAGGTTTTATTTTATTTTTTCTTCAGTTTTAAATACTCCTTTATAATAATTATAAGGCATGGACAAATCCGATTAATGTGATATGATTCTCATAGCCTTAAGTTTCACTTTAATCGATTAGAAAACGTATACGACGAGAAGAAGTTGGATAGAGCATGAAAAATCAATTCTTAAAAATACTGGATTAGACTAATGAATGATTTATGTAATAATCAAGTGATTAGATATTATGTTGACAAAGATAAAATGACGTCATTCTATTACACTTGCATTTTGGGTTCTTATCTTGTAGAAAAACATACTATAAAATTGCGGAGAAAATATATCTTAAAGGCTCTTTTCGTCTGAATCTATTGAATCACCATCGACAGAAAGAGGCTTTCGAAGCATCCGGAGTCAAGCTTCAAGGCATGCTAAAAATACACCAAAAATCTACAAAAATAGAAACAAGAGAATGTCTTCTTTTTCCCGAGGTACTCATGATAGCAACATGCTATTATTATGCATATATACGATAACTATAAGATTAAACAATGCGTCTATCTCAATTTTTCATCACTTCCTCCCAGACGAAGAAGAAGAAAGCTGATAAAAATTGACAATTTTGATCTCATACTGCTAGGTTTATTCCTGATATAAAAGAAAACCTGAAGATTCAATTGTTTTATTTAATACAAATCAAATAACTAATAATTCTGATGATGATTTTTACAGTACTATTCAATAGATAAATGGTTTATGATGTTACTTGCATGTTTAAGATAAAATTGAAAAGACATTTTAGAAATTATAATTATAGGCATTGTTTATAGAGCAAAATGAATAACGTGTTTGGAAAAATACAACACCAAATTGTATTGAAAACATGTCAAAATTAACACGAGCTATAATGTCTGAAGAAATTCGATCATATACTATAGCTTTCGTAAATTCTAATAATAAGATGAGAAAATATCTTACTACGGGAAAACATCTGCTATGTAATAAAGAAAGAGAAGAACTTGCAGCGGTATGCGTCCAAAATATCATTACAGATGTATATCAACTGATAGCGACTAAATCAAGTTGTCAGAAAATTTCTCCGGTTGAGTTAGAGTAGCTTTTACTTCTTCTTTACTCATCATGGTAGAAGTCAATAAATGTAATAGTAAATGATTGAATTTCTCTTAGAACTGCATTTCATGTTAATTTTGGTATTTATTCAATATGAACCGACGTGCTCTCTCCAAAGCAATTCTCATAGTATTGCACTGCAAACATAATTTATACTTATTATTCAAAATATTACTGTCAGAATACGACATTTCCGTTGTATAATCAACAGTAATCTTATTCAAATTTAACCTAAACTGGTGAAAACATAAAAAATACGTGTAGGCATCATCCGTATAGTATCAAGTTAATTATTTTCAATTAAGTAGGCAAGTAAAATCTCAGTGCGAATTCGAATCAGCAAGCAAAAGGTCAATGTTAGATATACGTCAAAGCAAGAAATACAAATCATTTTCAGCAAAGATTATCCGACAATCATGAAATAGATATTTTCCATTTTTATTGGATATTTTTTTTACTCTTCAGATAGGATGAAATGCAGAAGTAAGATAAGCACATGATGTTATATGTCAGTGGTTACATATATGCATCGCAAAATAGCATGTCGGTATCATTAGCTCGTAGGGGAAAAAGAAACAACATCACTGGTTGCTATTTTTGTCGGAGTGATACGCATTGTAACATACACTATTTCTCCGGAAAGAAAGTATTCATTTCAATTAATCAATTGAATACTTTACTATATTTATCTTCAATATCATTCATGCATGTTCAATGTTTTACTTTTAAGAGGCTTCTAGAAATATAGGGTAGTTTAATAATCAAGGACATAGCGAGAAAAAAGGATTTCTCAAATCTCATCTATATATGTTTTTGTACCTGCTGGTGTAAGAGGACTCCCGTGACGAGCAATAAGACATGATAAGCCTGTCACCCAAATATTTGCTTCGTCGGGACTACTTGCAACTAGATCCAATGCAGCACAATCATTATTTCCATCAGTATAGATGATCGAAAGCATCGATTCATTTTCAAATTGTTGTGCATGTTCGCGAAGACGTTCAGTTGTTTTTCCTAAACGCACTTCTTTTATCGAATCAATTGTAACTAAATAGATAAAGTAACAAAAACAAAATTGAAAAATATTTCGAAAAAGTACATACTAATTGCTTTTGATGGTTTTTTCGATGTTGGATACCAACTTATGGCTGTTAAATTATCATTTAATTTATATAAACGACGAAATTGTCGAACATATGAACGAACTTTGAGAAAATCACTTCCTTCTTGCATATAACGAAGACAGTCATGAACTAAATAATATCAATTATAAAATAAAAACAAAATATTTTTTATTCTATTTTACCATCAGCAACTTTTTTTTCACAGGGCATTGCACTAAATGATACAACTTTTCTTTTAAATGATTTATTCATTGGATTTTCTTCAGTATGATTTGGTACTGTTGAAGAATCTTCTTCGTCTGTACGATTACTTGCTGTATACATTTTGTTTTGTGTTAAAATAGAATTCTCATTAGAACTTGCTGAATGAAGACAAATTTTTTCTTCTTTTGGTCGAACACTAGACGATGATGATGCTGTACTATTTGACAATGAGCGATGTTCGCTGTTGTTTGTTTCATCAATACCAGCATTCATGTTCAAAGAATATTTGATTGTATATCTATTGAAACATGAATAATAATCATAATTAGACTGCGTACTGGTTCATTAAAATCGTTAATAAAGAAAAACCAATATTTTTTCGTTCTCTTTTCTATGCTATCAAAATATTTGAAAAAAATAAACGCATACACACACACACGAGCGTAAAGATTAATGATAAATTTATGAAATGCTTTATCTATATGTATCAGACTTTAAGTATGCATAATCCCATTAATAATTGTCAAGTCTAACTTACACGCTGATGATTTTTGTTTTTCTACTACTCTTATTATTATCCAATGTTATTCAATACTCAAGAGAAGAAGCAAAAAAAAGGGGCAGAGGAAAAGATGATCCTTCTTTTCTTTTCTTTTTGAATACAAACATAGAATAACGAAGAAAATCTAATGAAATAGGCGGAAGGCAAGCGAATAGAGGCGATGATGGATTTTAATGATAAGCCGATTACATACTCGACGTGTATAAGTTTGTTTTGTATTGTAATGGAGCTTGTTTTATTGGCTAATAATCACAATTTGTCGTTATGTGTGTTTATGCATGAAAAATAGAACAACAGACATGATAGAAAAATCTAATTTCCTTTCTCCTATTCGCATAAAGAATGATTTTTGGCAAGCACTACGTATATCTCGACGCTGACATACATATTAGTATCAATGATTTTTAATGGTTCTTCTGAACTTTTATTTATTATCAATATGTAAGTGTATTTGAAAAAAAGCCGAACCAATAGATCGAAGTATTTTTGTTGCTTTTTAAAATCTATATAATAATATGAATAAGCGATACAAATAGAAAATGATGATTAAATTTACTATAATAACTATTTATCGTGTATCTTTTTTTTTATTGGAATAAAAAACAAACGAACGTGAAAAGAAAACTTTGACAGACATGGCTTCATTCGTTCTATTATGTATACAGTACGAAATAAGCTGTTTGTCAATACAGCGAAAACTCAATTATTAGACTCTAATATGAACTCATACTGTTTTTAATGATGACGGTAGTTAATAGAAAATGTTGATGAAATCATGCTTATTCGTCGCCGCTGACGTATAAAACTTGTAAGGATAGAAAAAAAGCATCACCATCTGTTTTCCATCTTTACAGAAGAAAAAAAGAAGAATTCTCACAGAAAATATTAGAAGAGATATGCATAAACAAGGACTTTCTGTCGTTCTCAATCTATGAATGATTTTACACGTTTGTTCTTCTCAACAATTGCTCGTATTAAACATAGAACAACCATCCATTACTGAAGCAAGTCCATAGGTTAAATGACTGTACGTGAATATGAATAGTAGTCTCCGGGAAAAATTGGAAAAAAACTCGTCGGCCGTAAGTTATTACATTGTTAGTAAATTAGATAATGGTGCATCTCATGCTTTTAATCCATAGCATAGAAATCACATATCTTATCAAGACAGTGAGAATAGAATTTATAAAAAGCAAAATCAATGAATCAACTCATCGGACTATTCTATAATGCATGTATATAGAGAGAGCATAACATGTGGTGTAAAAATTTCTGCATATGTCAAAAGTTATTTTCAGTAATACAATGTCGCATTGGTTTAAATTGATGAGTGAAGTAGAACTTCGTATTTTTAATGGCTTTGATTTTTTTTTTATTCAACCATTAAATTTCTATACTGTAGAAAGAGAGAGAGAGTGTGTGTAAACAGAATAAGATTATGATGCAGATAGAGATGTTCCTGATCTAATAAATAACATAAGTATCAGTTATAACTAGTACGTCGAGAGAGAATAGCACAAAGCCAAGAGACTATTTCCACATGCGCGTCTTAAATAAGTAGCTTTCTTCTCTTTCAAATAGAGAATATTCAAGTCAATTTGACATTTCATGACTGAAAAATCCTTCATAAATGTTATTTAGTATTATTTTACATAATCTTCAACATAAATACAGTCAGGCAAGTTGAATTCACCTGATTCATTTACAGTGCCATGGCTAATGATGACAGAGAAATGAGGAAGTATTTTTTCTGTTATTTGGCTGACGACACATGTGTTTCTTGGCAATTACAAAATCTTGATTGGTTTCTTGTTATTTTCACAATTGATCAAGTGATCATAATTTACTAATGATGCTCTTTGAAAGCAAACAAATTTATCTTTTTATCATCGTTATTAAACCAACGAATAATATGTTAGTTTCTATAAAATAAGTCTAAATATATATCTACTGAATGTCAATTGAACCGCATCCATCAGATAAACATGACACACAATACTCAGGCACGTAGACATGCAAAATGCTGATCTCATTACGCCCTCAAACCACTTTGGCAAGCATGTCCGCTATATCACTCTTTATCTTTTTTTGTCTCTCGAGAAATAGGGAGTCAGCAGCATGGTTCGTTCGACCGAAATTATGAATGGAACAAAGGAAAAAAGATTACTGTTGTATTAGGGCCCTGTAGCTAATACATGCGCCTGAAGAACCAGAATTTTTTTTCTTAAGAATGATCGTACTTATTCTAGCGCAAAATAAATGCCAAGAATAAAAAGAAAATCGATTCTACTCATCAACATGCAATATTAAAACAAGCATTTCTGTTTTCAGCAAATATTTTCTTATGACTTAGAATTTGTTCTTTCTTAATTGACTTAATGAAGAAAATAAAAATGCAGATAATTATGTTATCGTCATTTCATGGAAGACTTCGTTATATTTGTTAATTGTTCCGTCAACATAAATATGTTCGTAATTAAACGAATTCAACGTTAATATAACATTTTATTCTGGCAAAAAAGCTACTTTTTCTAATTAAAAAAATTGACGAGTTATTACTGATTATTTTATACTATCTATATGGACAAGCATAAACAACAAAATGAAAAAGTATTTTGTCATTTATTACAAATAATTATAGAAGAAACTAATATTATAATTGTTTCATTCGTATAGTAGCTAATACAAAGGCAAATCTATTTATATCTCTCGAGTATTAATAGAAATGTTTAACTGTTTCAAGAGGTGTGTTGAAGTAAAAAGGACAATTTCTTAACAAAGAACCAGTTAACCTGATCTTTTGTAGTTGACTAACGATGACGAAGTGAAAACAAATAAATTTTTTTAGATAAAGTAATCTTCAATTCACAGAAAAAGAAAATCCTTTCTTCTAATCAACTGAAAACCGATATGAACATTATCATTATTATGTTGTATTAATCGGTATATGCGTTTTCATGAATAATAGATCGTTTTGCTAAGAGTGAACACAGATGGATTTGCAATACATTGAAACCACATTTTACTTATTCTTGTATAATAAGTCGATTTTATGCAACTGTCTTTAAGCATCTTGAGAAAATCTATGCTTAGATAACATAAATAAGACTGATTACCATAAAAACACTCGAAATAAATTATAATAGACGCGTTAATTCAGATATAAATACCTAGTTTTGAAGAATTTCTTCATCAAAATTTTCAACTGCAACTCAATATTCCAATAAATATATTTTTAAGTCATCAAATTTAACTGTTACACTAGAAATTTATTTGTATTTTTTATAAAAAGATATTATCCAGACAATCTTCAGTGATAAGAAATTTATTTGTATTTTTTATAAAAAGATATTATGCAGACAATCTTCAGTGATAAGAAATTTATTAAATAAATACGAAAATCTTTCTATTTATTTCGCAGAACACTCTCAATAAAAATACAATCTTATGATTTATTTGACGTTTGAAATAAGACTAAATTAAATGTGACAGAGCAATACATTATGGATATTTTTTATGGAATCTTTGCAACATGTTAATCGCTAAAAAAGTCATGTAGTCTAATAGGAAATGAAAATAACGACAGATAATGGCTATGTTTATGTCGATAATGATAATATATTATTCATTTGATCATCAATAATATCATCGGCTCGATAGATTTTTGGTGAAATAACTTTAATACGACAAAAATCGATGATTAATGTTAATATACAGATGAGAAGATAACTTGGTAAAATCTATATAGATGAAATATTAGAGAAATCATACTTCGTAACCCTCAATAGAAAAACATGAATTTTCCTAAGCCTTCATTGTTTGTAGGATAGATACCGGAGATTTTGCTGTTCCGGTCTTTTCGATTATTACTATAATTGATAAGAGTGATTGTTTGAAAGCGAAAAAATATAAATGAATTTAACTATCGTTTAGTTTCTTTGCAATATTAGTTTATAACGATAAGCGATGAATTTTCGATTAAAATTAAGTTTCATATTGGAAATTATTGCTCGTTTAAGCTTGACATTTAGAAGACAAAAAAGGAATTACAAAAGGGAAATTCGGCTCTTTCTTGTTCTATTGAAATTGCTTATAATCTTAGCAAAATTTTAGCTTATTGTATGATACTCTTAACTAACTCTGAAGTCCGAATATCAACCCTATAATCAATAAAATGAATGATACTACTCATTAACGATTGTCTACGAATAGTAGCTTCTATCATATTTTCTTTCCGGTGATACTCGATGATTAGTTTCTACTGACAATCAGAAGTCATTCAACAGCATACTAGAATTAAATGTAGACATGCTTCTCATGTAAACACTCCCCTTTTTTCAATGCCATGATGACTGCTATTCCCACTAATATAACACGAATGAGCTTTTTAAAATTTTGACTAGAATGTAGTTTTCGTCTCGGAAAATATTACTGATAGATATTTTCAACAGAGACTTGTAGACTGATACTAGTTGCAGTTTGATTGAATAAAAACACAATTGAATTCTGGACTCAATTTAAATCAATTCGATCGATTAAGAGTTCAAGTAGATACACATCTGTTTAGAATTGACATATGCTGAAACAATTGTTATTCAAGCTAAGATTGTTTGAAATGATATTTCAAGGATTACCAAGGCTCTTTATATGAATCCAATTTTAAATGAAAAAAGATTCGTTTGTTCTTTATCAGATTCATCATGCAATGGGA